AAACAGGCTCCAGGCTCTGAGCTGGCAGTCAGCACAGAGCCCGACGCGGGGCTCGAACCCACTAACCGCGAGATCATGACCTAAGCGAAAGTCGGACGCTTAACCGACTAAGCCACCCAGGCGCCCCAAATGTTTTTTATTCTTGAGAGAGCGAGAGAGACAGAGTGTGAGTGGGGGTGGGCGGAGCAAGGTGACACGGAATCTGAAGCAGGCTCCAGGCTCTGAGCTGTCAGCACAGAGCCTGATCCAGGGCTTGAACCCACAAGCTGTGATATCATGACCTGAGCCGAAGTCGGACACTTAACCGACTGCACCACCCAGGCGCCCCAGAATGAACACATTTAATGAAGCAGTAAAGAACCCTTCCTTTCATCTCTTAAATGATCATTTTTAAAAGTGATTATGCTTCAGCTTTGTGGAGCTACAAGATGATATGGTCTTTTTTCACAAGAGCTTGCAGTCCAGTTCCTGGCACAAAGCTGCTCAGTAAATCCATCCTCTGGGAAAGAACTGGGACTTGGCACCCTTACTAGACCCATAGGTGGGTTGTCTCATCCTGCTGTAGGAGTCCCAGAGACTACAGGACTGGTTTGTGTTGGGACTAAGTTCTGTGGAGAGTTCCCTTTTTTCATTAAGTTCACCGATACAGTTACTGTGGCTCAGTTTCCAGGGATATTATCATAAGTAACATATATACCTAGGTCTAAGCTTAAAAGTTGTACACATAATAATTCTGTACTCAATGACTTGATAGAGAGGGGGTGGTAGAGGGAGAGACTTGCTCCCCTGGGGTGTGGACCTGGGATCATTAGCGGCTATTTGCAGAGCTCCAGGCTACACCCAAGTATCACCCAGGTGTATAGCTGTCAGGACTAGGCTGACAGCCATTTTTCTTTCCTGTCCCTGCAGGGCTTATCCTGTCCTGTAGAGTGCTGAGCATGGGTGGGGCAGTGTAAGAGGCACCTTAGGGACACACATAGTGACAAGCTTGTCAGTCCAGTTGATCAAATGGCAGAAACCAATGAGAATCTAGCAGACCGGGTTAGCATGAAAAAGGCTCCTGACCCACAGTCTTTATAAGCAGAGATACCAGCACAGATGGGTGGCAGGCACTCAAGGGTCATTCTGACTGCAGCCAATGGGGTCACAGCCAATCAGAGCTGACAAGGTTCAAGTGGAGGAAACAACTATGAATAAGGTTTTAAGCAAATGACAGTTCAGTTACATCCAGTTGATTCTAGAACCAAGGAGAGTTCTGTGGGATTCAGGGCTTTTTGGGGTTCCTGTTCAACAATGCTTGCACCACCCCACAGACTGACGCTACCCTTCTTGGGGGCATTTCTTATGTTCTGCAGAGGATCACACTTTTTAGGGTCCATACTGGGGACTATGAAGGCCTTGATTAGTTAGGCCTAAGACTAGATGGGTCATCTCTTCCTATCTTCTAAAGAACCTTTAGGCTCTAAGTCCCACAGAAAAGCCATCTCCTCCTAGTTAGTATGAGGGGATACTAAGAAGCACGTGTGTGTACATGTGTCCGGGGTGGGGTGAGAAGAGGGCTGTCCATATTCCTCAAAAGTGCCACACACCATACTCTAAGGGAAGAGAAGAGAAGCTACCTTTTCAGCATTAGCATCCTTATGCTCAGCAATCAATGAGCCTGTGTTTCAAACCTGAACAAGAGGGACTTCTGACAGGATTTCTATCTCCCTTCCTGGCCTTCCATTTCCTTCTGTGTTTGCATGTACATGCTTTCTCACTTTGCTTTTCTTACTTCTTTTCTGTTCTTCTGCTTATCATGGTCAGTGAACACAGGGCTCCAGAATCCAGAAAAACCTGGATACAAAATTGAAAAATCTAGGGAAAAGATCAGAAAATTCCTCCTTCTGTGAATGAGACCAATGAGAACAAACAATAGTAACAACTATAAAAATACTGAATACTTACTATATGTAGAGAGGTGTTAGGTATTCACATACCTTTTATAGAGGAAGAGGAAATATAAAAGGATAAGTATTAGTCTAGTCTGGAGCTGACTGAATGGATTGGAATCTCAACCTTTGTGCTTATTTGCTGTTACCTTATCTGTTGTAGGGGATAAAATGAATTAATGCATGAACAAAAACTGGCACAAAATAAACACTCCATAAATATTAGCTGATGTTACAAAAAAAGGTGTTAGCTATTGCTATCAGCATCATACTGAATTTCCATGAGTTAAGTATTATTATGAGTTAGTTGTTAGTATTATTGTACTCATTTTATAAATAAGGAAACTGAGGCCCAGAGAAGCTGAGTAACTTGTTAACATTACCAGACTGTAAAAATGACCAAACACCTTGAAGCTTCTCCCATCAACATATGGAGTCTGTTTTCCCATCCTTTGAATCTGGGCCAGCACTATGACTTGCTTAGACTACTACAATGTAGCAGAAGTAACACTGCATAAATTCTGAGCTTAGGCCTCAAGAGGTCTTGTGGTTTCCCTGTATGTTCTACTTGGGAACCTGAAAGCATCATATGAAGGGGCCGTGTTTAGCCTGATGGAGGATGAGAGGCCACGTGGAACAGACATGATTCATCATCCCAGCAGAGGCCATCCAGCCCTCAACAATCAGCCCTGAGCCAATGAGTTCTGACACAGACACAGAACCACCATGCAGCCAAGCAGGTCCAACACAGGATTGTAACCAAAATCTACAGTTGTTGTTTTATGTAACTAAGTTACTAGCTGTACTACTTACTTACTAAGTAACTTAGTTACATAAAACAACAACTGTAGATTTAGAACACAGCTAGTTTTAAAATCCAGGGAGCCTGGTTCTAGACCCTGATCTTTTATTCCTTATATTCTTCTTCATGTGAATGGGAAATAGAGAAGTTTTCTTTCCTGGATAATGATAAGTTTGATTAGTTGATAAGCAAGTCCTCTTACAATAAGATCTAGAGACAGACTACTGATAAGATTTAGTTGATATCAGAGAGACAGCCCCTCAAAACACGACAGCCTTCCAACAAATGCTGCTGGAATAATTAGATGTCCACAGGCAAAACCATGAAACTTGGCCTAAATCCTACACCTTCTACAAAAATTAACTCAAAATGAATCACATATTTAAATGTAAAATGTAAAGCTATAAAACTTTAAAAAAAAAAAACATACAAGAAAATCTTCAGGATCCAGGGCTACACAAAGCTTAGACTTGACCCCAGACATAATTATCAGTGAAAGAATATACTGATAAATGGGACATGACCAAAAAAAAAAAAAGACCTTTCCTTTGTGAAAGATCCTGTTAAAAGACTGAAACAACAACCTATGTGTAAAAGCTATGAGAGAAAATCCTTCAAACTAAGGCTCTGCCAAGAACTAGTATCTAGAAGGTAAAGAACTCTAAAATCAACAGTAAAAAAACAAACAATCCACTTAAAAATGAGAAAGAAACATTTCACTAGAGAGGATATAAAAACAGACAAATAGCACAGGAGAAGATGTTCCACGCCATTAGCCATTAAGGAAAAGCAAGTTAAAACCACACTGTAAGGTATCATTTCACTATCACGATGGCTAAAATCAAAGAATGACAACATCAAAATGTTGGTGAGGATGAAGAGAAAGGGCACTGCTCATACGCTGCTGGGGTGAATGCAGCCATTCTGCAAAAAGCATTTGGTAGCTTCTTATAAAACAAAGCATGCAACTACCATATGACCCAGCAATTGAACTCTCAGGCATTTATCCCAGAGAAATGCAAACTCTGTCCACACAAAATCTTGTACACAAATGCTCATAGCAGCCTTATTCATAACAGTCAAAACTGGAAAAAACCTGATGCCTTTCTTTTTTTTTTTTTTTTTTAATGTTTTATTTATTTCTAGGAGAGAGAGAGAGAGAGAGAGAGAGACAGCGTGAGCAGGGGAGGGTCAGAGAGAGAGGGAGTCACAGACTGAAACAGGCTCCAGGCTCTGAGCTGGCAGTCAGCACAGAGCCCGACGTGGGGCTCGAACCCACAAACCGCGAGATCATGACCTAAGCGAAAGTCGGACGCTTAACCGACTAAGCCACCCAGGCGCCCCAAACCAGATGCCTTTCAATGGGTGAATAGTTACACTAACTGTGGTATACTCATACCATTAAACACTATTAAGTAATAAAAAGGAACCAACCAACATACACAGCTTAGATGGTTCTCCAGAGAATTATGTCGACTAAAAAAAAAATCCATCTCCAAAGAACACATGTTGTATGACTTCACTTACATAACATTTTTTGAAATGACAAAATTATAGAAATAGAGAATAGATTAGTGATTGCCAGGGGTTAGGGATGGGGAAGAGGAGGATAGCTATAAAAGTGAAATGTGAAGGATCTTGCGGTGGAAATGTTCTTATATTGACCATATCAATGCCAATATCCAATATCTGGGTTGAGATATTGGAAAAACATATAAATGGCATGAGGGATCTCTCTGTATTAGTTCTTACAACGGCACATGAATCTATAATGGTCCCCAAATCAAAAACTTAGTTACAAAAAAAAGTAATGAACAAAGATAGCCTGTAAAGAATTTGAGGAGTACTATAGGTAACACCTTATTTGAAAAACTTTTAATTACTTAGACACAAAAAAACTATACAAAATTAGTGTGTACAACTTGATGATTCTGTAGATAAGTATATACCTGTGAAACCATGACCACAATTGATGCCATAAAGCTATCACCTCCAGAAGTTTCACTTTATTGATAAGTACAAACACTTTCACCAGTAGGCTGCTTCCTTGCTTACTGTCTTTGCCCAATTCTGCCAAGTTACTTTTTTTTTTTCTCTCTCTTCTTTGAAACCTTGCTTGAAACACACTTCCAAACTTCCCACATACTTCCAAGTTTTCTATGGTACATACGAGATCTGGAGAGGGCTGTGGATTGGACCCAGGGCAGGAGACGCTGGCGGAAGGGCTGGAACCCAGAGCGGTAGATTTGATTCAACATGATGCGATGTGGTCACTGATCAAAGTATCTGTAGAATACAGTTTTTAAAAAGATGAAAATGAAAATAGACAATTTTAATTTCTTCCACTTCTCATACTCTCAGAGTAAGAACTGGACTCTTCTGCTCCAATTCCTCTGTATCAGGGACACTCCCACCTGCTCTGTCTATAGAAAAGAGACAACAAATGGCTCCTTCCCAGGTCCCATCTATATCTTGCCTTTCCTAGGACCTTGTAAGTTTTTATGTAAGCAAATGACAACTAAGGATTATAAATAGAGTGACAGAAAAGTACAATGTTCCCGTGTGGATACTAAATCTTCACTACAAAATTCCTACACAATTAGGGAGTCTCAAACAAATCAAAAACAGATCCAACATCCAATAAGTGGCCATCTCTACCTTCCTGCTATCACCTCCCAAAAGAACTCTGAAAACCACGTATTTCAAATGTCTGCTTGACCCTAGCTGACGTAAGAAGAGGCTGGAAAGGCCAGAGGCCACTGCCATCCTTCTCCCTGCTGCTCACAGGACTCTAAAGCACACTCTTGCATCCCTGGGAGGGGGTGCCATACCTGCAAATGATTGGCATTTCAAATGACTATGGGCACATCTTGTGGAGGATGAGCACATGGCTAGAAAAAACCTGAGCTGGAAATATGGTGGTTATGGGTTATGGTTAGGGGCTCCCTCCTCTATATACACAGAGAATAAAACATTCGTTGTTGCAGCTCTCGTGTTAGAGAGACAGCGCTGTTTTCACAAGATAAGAAAGATACTGCACCCTCTTTGCTTGCAGGCTTCTTTATAACTTTTGCTCTATGGATTGGTGGATTTTTTCCAACCCTCTTAAATGTGTCTCAGAAGACTAGCAGTTAGCCCCACACTGAAGAGAAACATGGAGTGGCATGTATTGCTCTATAATTTATACTGCACAAAGGCACAGAAAGGAGAGAGAAGAGATTGGCAGGGTCCATCTATTGTTAAAGATATGTCATCCAATAGGCAACAGAAAGTGCTAAGTGCCATCTTCATTGGCTTCAGTTTGTGACAGTCTGGAAGATCCCAAGAGAAAATTTACTTGCATAACACTGAAGCATGACAAAAGCCCATGGTCTTGTGTGCTGCTTATATAAATCCCTTCAGTAATTGTTGCTAAACAATTATTTACACATGAATTCTCCAACAGGAATGCCAAAAGGGTAAAATAATCAAACTAGACCCTAAAGTCTAGTCCTATTTCCTTCATGACAACTCCCTCCGTAACTCTAGCATTTTAATTGGATGTAATTCTACAGATTAGCCTGTAGAATTAGCCTGCTTCATGTTAGTATCATTGCTTCTCCCAACAAGATCATAAAGTTCCCTCTGACAGCATGGGAAACCATACAGGGAGCACGGATTTTGGAGCTGGACGGACTGGGTTCCAGCTCTGTGCCCTCTGGAAGGTTACTCGAATGAGATTTGTAAGCCTCAGTTTCCTCTTTTGTAAAACAGGGACAGTAACAGTAATCCTCGTGGGATTACTGTGGGAATTAAATGAGACAATACATGGAATGCTTGGGTACAACAGATGCTCAACAAATGTCAGCTGTGCTGCTTCTTTCAGGCACTAATGATGCCCTACGACTTCCTCTGTATCTCCTTCAGGATGTGTCACAGGCACAAGGATTCAATAAATATTCTCTGACAGACATAATCAGTAATTATACTTACTGTTTGCCTCTCTCTTATCTAAGAGTAACTGAAAGTTCTGAATGTTCAAGGTCACTAACTTATAGGCTCAATACTGACCTAGAAACTAAGCCTTCCTGGCCTCTCCCCTGTACCACACGGCCTCTGACTGACTGCAGTAGACGCTCTCAGTAAGCAAACAGCTGATTCCAGGGAGCAAAGGGTACGTGTGTCTGTGTGTGCGTCTAGACTCGATGTCATCAGTTGGAAAAAGTTTCCGTGTTTTGGCTCAGGACGTTTCTGAGGTGCCTCTTTTACTGGTTTTAAACAGAATGCCCTCACTGATTTGGACAGAGAACTGAACTTTAGTCCCAACAAACTTCACCCAGAAACACAGGTTTGGTATGAGGCTCACGGCTCCCAAGACAAAGATCGGGTGAGAAATCTCGCCGCCTCAGAGAGCAGGGGTGAATGGGGGGGAGGGGGAGAGGCGAGGGGCCGGGCGCGCCCTGGTGTGCCACACTGCAAAGGGCGGTCGTGAGCGAACTCCCCCGCTGCTGGGGGCCCGGTTTTGAAAGGGAGGGTCACGAAAGCCCAGGCGGGCCGCGGGGGACCGCACACACAGGCCGCGTGGCCACTTACAAACCCGGGCACATCACCAGCAGCGAGGCAGGTGCACTGCAAGCTGGCTCCGGACTCGCGGGCCGAGGGGCGTCCGCCGAGCCTTCAGCCCTCCACCTGGGCCAGTTCCTCGGTGTGGGTGTACTCGGGCGGCCGCGGAGGTCGGGTGCCCCAAGCCCCTCAGACCCCGAGGCCTCCCACTCGGGCACATGGAAGCGCGCTGGCGGCGAGCGCACCCCGGGCTGCCCAGCCAGCCGCCTTCCATCGGCGCGCGCCCACACCCACTCGCGGGCCCGGCCTCCCCGCCCGGCAGGAGCCCCCGCAGCCCCCGCGGATGGCCGCGGGCCGGCGCGCGCCCTTTCCCTCCGCAGCGGGCCAGGCGCCCCATCAGCCCCCGCGGAGGCGCCGGCGCCGCGCCATCGCCGCCGCCATCCCTGCCGCCGGAGTACCTACCTCAACACGACCACACGACCCCGCTGCCCGGCCGGCACTGTACGCCGGACAGATTCTGCCGCCGGCTTACTCCCCTTTTCCTTCCGTCCACGTCCCGCAAGATGACGTTACGTCAGCGGCGTTGGAGTAAACGCCAGCCGCGGGGCCTCCGCTGCTGACGTGGGGCGAAGGGCCGAACCGGAGCTACGCCGCGGCAACCGCGTAGGCGCCTTGGAGAATAGGGTCTGCGCTCCACGTGGCGGGCCCCGCCCTCCCAGGCCCGGGCAGACGCCGGGAGGCGGGGCTAGACAACTCCGGTGCCCGTCCACGTCCCTTAGGGAACAGGGGCCCCACGGGGCTTCCCGAGGAGGCAGGAAAGGTGCTTGGCTCACGTAGCTGCTGTTTGGCACCAGTAAGGAATGTTTCTTAGTCTTGATCGTTATATCCCACGCACACCTCAGAAGTAGGTTGGATCAACTTACACATACCTGCATTTACAGAACCCGTGCTCTCGGCTAAACTTTTGCTATTTAAATGCGAAAATTTTGTCGTTGTGATAAAATGATTTGCCCCCTAGTGGTCTAGGGGTTTCCCCAAGAGTCCCACCCCAACTCTTGTTCTACAAGGGCGCTGGTGAAGTATTGCACTTAAATAGTTGTATTTAATCCCTGACAATTACAACTATTCCAAAGGCAAATGTGGATCTACCCTTAAAATTAGAATTCAGTCTCCCTCTTTCATACTTGCTGTGTTTTCCTCCCAGGGCACATTTTGTATAGGCAAGGCAACGCTGGACAGGTACAGGGGTGGGGGAAAGGCTGCACAGCACTTGACTGGAGGCAAGTGACAAGGAAGGCATCTTCCCCTTCTTTAGAACATTGCTGGGCCTACTTATTCATTTCCTCAGTCATTAAACATTGCCTACTTTAGGGGCACCTGGATGGCTTAGTCAGTTAAGAGTCTGCCTTTGGCTCAGGTCATGATCTCCCTGTTGGTGAGTTTGAGCCTCCCATAGGGCTCCGTGCTGGCAGCTCAGAGCTTGGAGCCTGCTTCAGATTCTCTCTCTCTCTCTCTCTCTCTCTCTCTCTCTCTCTCTCCCTCCCTCTGCTTCTTCCCTGCTCATGTTTTCTGTCTCAAAAATAAACATTAAAAACATAAAAAACAAAACAAAAATGCATCGCCTACTTTGTGTGGCAGGCATTCCCTCGATATGGAGAAAGATATCGCCCCCTCCCTAGATGAGTTCACAGCCTTATAGGAGAGACAGATATGTGAGCAAATGATTACAATGCTGCAAATTGTGCTAGAGGAGGGGGTGTCCAAGGATCTCAGGCAAGGCTTTTAAAAGAGGGTAGGCATTCAAATTGTGCTTTGAAGGCCAAAAACAAAGTCGTTCACCTAGAAATGGGAAGCAGGATCACATAAGGAAGAGGAAATGCAATAAGCAGAAGCGTGAAATGTCCTATGAGAAGAGGCTGCAGGAGGGACAATGACAGGAGAGGTGTTTGGTGGCACCACCTTGCAAAGGGATTTCTGTGCCATGCTAAAGACCTTGAAATTTATCATCCCCAAAGACAGAGAACCATCACTTTTAAAGTTCTGGAATGGAACGGTGATGAGACTTGTGTGTCAGAAATCAGTAAAGAGGAGTAGAAGCTGAGAGGCTGGTCAGCTAGTGCTAAGGCCCAAGTAAGAAATGACCGGAAAAAAGGCTCCAGCAGTGGGCAAGGGGAGCATAAAGCGGGGAGAGCTGGCAGCCCTTACTATGTTTAAAGTGGGAGAAGAGGAGGGATTTTTGCAAATATGGTAGTGCTGCAATATATTGAGTTAGGAAATAGATGAGGGGAGTTCTTTGAAGTGAACAATGAGGACTCTGAACATGGATTAAGTTGTCAGCTTACATGGGTTTGAAGTTGGGTGGAGGATATAAAAGTAATGCTTTTACAATGCTTTTAAAAATGCTTTTAAAATTTCTTTCTTGTAAGTTTCATCTGGTACTTCAGCTTTTAAGATTTGCACCATAAACTTAGAACGAATTAGGTAACTGTGGGTGTAACTAAAGCCATTAAAGACAGTGGCCTTCTCTACTTGAGAAATCCTGTTCTAGTTCTTTTAAACCACATATCACCTTATGGAAATTGCTTATCTGCCTTCCCTGCTAGAATATAAGGTTCTGAGAGTAGAGAAGTATGTTCCTGGCATTTAGACAACAAATATTTGATAAATGAAAGAATTTAATTTCTTTGGGTTTAGTTTTCTTAAATAAGAAATGGACTAATAACACAGTCCTTGTCTATTCCATAGGAATGTTAAAAGAAACAAATATAGAAATCCTTTAATATTGTATATTTTTTATTTTATTTATTACTGTGATTTGAGTTTTATTACTATTTTACTATTAATATTCTACTCCACCAATGTGGACAAAGGAGTGGTATATGTGACTGTGGATTGAGAAAAATCAAATACCAGAAATATAAGCTGCTTTGCTCCTCTGCAGAAATAAATACCATAGCCATGGTATCTTTCCTGCATATGATTTTTAACGACTTTTAAAATGTTTATTTATTTATTTTGAGAGAGAGAAAGAGAGAGAGCACGTGTAAGCGGGGGAAGGGCAGAGAGAGAGGTGCTGTCAGCACTGAGCCTGACCCTGGGCTTGATATCACGAACCACAAGATCATGACCTGAGCCGAAATCAAGAGTCATATGCTTAACTGCCTGAGCTACCCAGGCACCCCAAAAGGATTTTTTTTTATTGGAAGGATTTAACTTTCGTCTCAACAAATGGAAATAGAATTGGGCATAACTAGGGGCGCCTGGGTGGCTTAGTCGGTTAAGCGTCCGACTTTCGCTTAGGTCATGATCTCGCGGTTCGTGGGTTCAAGCCCCGCGTCGGGCTCTGTGCTGACTGCCAGCTCAGAGCCTGGAGCTTATTTCAGAGCCTGTGTCTCCCTCTCTCTCTGACCCTCCCCTGCTCACACTGTCTCTCTCTCTCTCCTAGAAATAAATAAAAATATATAAAAAAAAATAAAGTCTTTAAAAAAAAAAAAAAGAATTGGGCATAACTAGAAAATCACCTAGGAAGTGGACTATTTAGAATTGGGCTATACAAATGTAGGATTGAAGACTGTTTCTTTACAATGCTACTGAGTACGAGGTTTAAGTTATCTTAGTCTCAGGTTCTTTAATTTTTGATAACAAAAATATTCAAATAAAGCAATTTACTAGAAGGAATAACTTGCAGTCTCCAAGAGCAAAAGGTAAAACCAGATCTCATGAGAGGTGGGTCCAAGGCAGTAGAATCTGGAAACAAAAACTACTCTGGATCTCTGATTTATACTTCTCTCTGCACATCTGTTTCTTTTTTCCCCCCTTTTAAGGTAGGCTTTTCATTGTCGAACAGGTGGTAGAAAATGGCTTCCTCAGCCCTCAAATATCTTTAGTTAGTGCCTACTCCTGACTGACTTCCCGTCTTGATTCCAGTTCCAAAGTCCTAAGGGAGAAAATATTACTCGCCTAACTAGGTCCAGGACTCCACATTTGGACTGGTCAGCTGTGGCAGGGAGAGACCAGGTCACGTAGGCAATGTGAGCCTGGAGGCTGGGCCCACCTTCAACAGAACTCTAAGTGATAGGAATTCTCAGAGAAAAGGCAGTAGACTAGACTGGTAGACATTTCACAAGAGTTGGCAATCATAGGACAGACGCTTAAGTGAAATCTGTTTCAGCCACACTACACAACATCAGTTTGTAGTTTTACGAACCAGGCTGCACATCAGAAGTACCAGGGAAGACTTTGAAACATACAGATTCTTAGAAACTCCTTTTCCTGCCAGTGAATCAGAATCTCTAAGGGTAGAGCCCAGGAATCAGTATTTTTATAAAGTACCCTAGAAGATTAGATATGACTGGCATTTCAGATCCCCTGGTTTCAAAGACAGGCCCAGAATGTGACAAAAAACAAACAAACACCCAAATACATCAATAGAAAAGGGAGGTTACTCATAAATACGGAACATTCTTACATACAATAAACAGGGAGTTTCCTTTGGGAGAGCATGTATTTTCCTTAAAACACAGTTTTATTTTCTCTGACTATAAAAATTAGAAATGCTAGAAGCAATCAAAGATACGTCTTCCTCAAGAGAGAATGGGAAATCTAAGTCAAAGATAAGCCCCAAAAGTGATGTTTGGTCCTTAGGATGCATTTTGTACTATATGACTTATGGGAAGACACCGTTTCAGCATATAATTAATCAGATTTCTAAATTACACACATTAATTGACCCTAATCATGAAATCGAATTTCCTGATATCCCAGAGAAAGATCTTCAAGATGTGTTAAAGTGTTGTTTAATAAGGGACCCTAAACAGAGGATATCCATTCCTGAGCTTCTGCCGCATCCATATGTTCAAATTCAAACTTATCCAGGTAATCAGATGGCTAAGGGCACCACTGAAGAAATGAAATATGTTCTGGGCCAACTCGTTGGTCTGAATTCTCCCAACTCCATTTTGAAAGCTGCTAAAACTTTATATGACCGATATAATAGTGGTGAAGGTCATGAATCCACTTCATCATCCAAGACTTTTGAAAAAAAGTGGGAGAAAAAAATGATTTGCACCTACTCACAAACTGTCAAATATCACCTGTAAAAATATATTGGACTGTTATATTCTTGATTCTCTGGAAACTGCTCTTAAGGACAACTTGACCCTGAAATGTCAATGGCAGAAAAATTCAGTGGATTATTCTCAAAAGAAAACTGTAAAAATAATAACCACTAATGATACTGTATATATTAAGTTGTAGAATTGTTTTCTCTTTTATGCTTTCCTGTATATCTACTCTATTTGATATCATTTCACACTTAGAATAGTGGATGGACAATTGAAATATATTCTGAAGAACTATGTAAATAAAGCTTTGTAGCATAAAATGATACTAAAATGTATAATTATTTTCTTTAAGCTAATGCACTACTGGTGTGGCAGCAAAATTCATAATAAAAATTGAATTAAGGGAAGACACAAGAGTCTTCAAGAAAAAAAAATTAGAGGGGCGCCTGGGTGGCTTAGTCGGTTGAGCGTCCGACTTTCGCGTAGGTCGTGATCTCGCGGTTCGTGGGTTCGAGCCCCGCATCGGGCTCTGTGCTGGCTGCCAGCTCAGAGCCTGGAGCCTGTTTCCGCCTGTGACTCCCTCTCTCTCTGACCCTCCCCTGCTCACGCCGTCTCTCTCTCTCTCTCTCTCTCTCTCCTAAAAATAAATAAAAAAAACATTAAAAAAAAAAAAAGAAAAAAAATTAGAAATGCTTATTATTTTTAAAAAATCCCCATTTTGACATGTTAGCTTTCCAGATTTTCTGTTTGCCTAAGAACACATGTATAGTTTGTATTTTTTAAAAGATGAGGTCACAGAATATATACTCTAGTCTATATTGTTCACTTAAAAATAGATCATGTTGTAATTAAGGCAAGTCTACTCAGTTTCAGTGTTGTACAAGATTGCAGTCTATGGATATATTATATTTAATTCTCCATTGCTGGACATTTTTCCTTCCTCAATAATGTCCAATAAGTGGAACTGTTGGGTCAGAGCTTATGAACATTTTTAAGGCTTTCGATACATATTATCAAATAGCTACCTGCCCTTCTCTCCAAGTTCCTACTTGTTTTAAATTCCCATGGAAAGTATTTAAGAGTACCTGTCTTTCCACAGCTGTAATAGTTGTCTGGGATTTCAATTTCATTCTATGTAAATCATACATACCCCTTTACAATTAAAATTGTTCCTTAAACTGAATATATGGTCACAATACAGACCTCTTGTGCAGTTAGTCAAATAACTAACAACTTAACCTGTATAAAGGGAGGGAACTAAGGAGACTGCGTTGTTTTATAGATGGTTTTAGAAATATCTTGAAGGTCTAGGGGCGCCTGGGTGGCTTAGTCGGTTGAGCGTCCGACTTTTGCTTAGGTCATGATCTCGCGGTTCGTGGGTTCGAGCCCCGCGTCGGGCTCTGTGCTGACTGCCAGCTCAGAGCCTGGAGCCTGTTTCAGTCTGTGACTCCCTCTCTCTCTGACCCTCCCCTGCTCACGCTGTCTCTCTCTCTCCCCTAGAAATAAATAAAAACATTAAAAAATTAAAAAAAAAAAAGAAATATCTTGAAGGTCTGTTACAAAGAGAGTGACTAGAGATAAGATAACCATAAAATCTTATCTAAGGTATATTGAAGTAGTCTTGTAATCGGAAACTAGGTTTACAAGCTAATTAAATTAGTAGAGGGGTATACAGTAAGAAAACACTTGAGGTATTCCTACCTTGGAAGAGCAGATATGCTGATTTCTGGTGTAAGATCTCTATGTACTACAGTATACAAAGGCATGCTAGGTTACATGAGGTACCACTGCACACCCCCTAGGATGGCTAAAATAAGAAAGGCAATAACAAGTGTTGGCAAAGATACGGAGAAATTGGAATACCCATACATCGCTGGTGAAACTTCCACTTTGGAAAGTACTTTGACAGTTTCTCAATAAGTTAAACACAGAATTACCATATTACCCAGAAATTCCACCCCTAGGTATATACTCAAGATAAATAAAACAATAATTCCACACACAAACTTGGACATGAATGTTTAAAGCAGTATATTCATAACCTCCAAAAAGTAGGAAAAGCCCAAATGTCTATCAACTGATGAATAAATAAAGTGCGGTATATTCATACAATGGGTTATTCATCCATGCTACAACAGGAACCTTGAAAACACGCTACATGAAAGAAGCCAGACACAAAAGGTCACACATTGTGTGATTCCATTTATATGAGATGTCCAGAGCAGGCAAATTTAGAGATAGAAAATAGATTAGTGACTGCTAGGAACCAGGAGGAGAGGGGAAATGGGAAGGGACTGCTAATGAGTATGGGCTTTCTCTTTAGGGTGATGAAATGCTCTGGAATTAGTGGTGATGGTTACAGAACTCTGAATATACTAAAAACCACTTACTTAATTGTATACTTTAAAAGGGTGACTTTTCAGTCACAGAAAGACAAATATATGACTTCACTTATATGAGGACTTTAATATACAAAACAGATGAACATAAGGGAAAGGAAGCAAAAATAATATAAAAACAGGGAGGGGGACAAAACACAAGAGACTTAAATATGGAGAACAAACAGAGGGTTGCTGGAGGGGTTGTGGGAGGGGGGATGGGCTAAATGGGTAAGGGGCATTAAGGAATCTATTCCTGAAATCATTGTTGCACTATATCACTATGTGCTAACTTGGATGTAAGTTAAGAAAATTAAAAAATAATGTAATAAAAAATAAAAGGGTCACTTTTCTGGTGATTATATTTGATGTAATTTTTTTTTTTTTTTTTTTTTTGGTAGGGCTATAGTGGTTTCATAGCACAGGGGCATGAGAATAAACAAGTGAATAAAGGAGTATAGGGACCAGATTCTGAGGACTCACAGGCTGTTGGAAGTAGATTAGATGTCGCCTACCCCATAATTTAGGATGAACTGTCACTTAAGTTTATTTCCCTTTAAGAAGCCCAAGCTGGAGATGCTAAATACTTTATAGTAGCTTTGTGCTATTTTGGTACAGGTTTCTTTGGAGGCAGGGTTGCTGAATTAAGCAACATCTGTGTATGGGAGTCTAGTAGGAACGATGTCATCTGCTTTCCAGCTTGCAGCTGTGCAGAATCTCCCTTGTACAGATGTACTCCCTCCTACGTTGGTAGTAACTGCTACAGGAACCTTGCCACTTTCCTCCAGGGAGGTAGGTTAGTTTCAGGTTACTCTGGAATGGGGCAAAATGATTAATCCATCAGAGATGGTGTTTACAATTAGCATTTTCTGCTCATGAAGTGGGATTTATTATATCTATGTATATGCTTTGTTAAAAGGCAGTTTTAGATTCAGATCATTAATATGTTGTGGAAAAAATATAAACTATCCCTCAGCTCTCTCTGCCTGGCTTTCAAGTCCCCGTAATGAGTTCCCATCTTTCTTATCTCATCACAGTGCCTATTTTGCCCATTCAATGTTTCTACTACAGTCATGTTAGGCTCCCCACCCTCTGGCTCCTGGCATCACCTCTACCCTCCCACCCATTCTGCTATGTTTAGCTCCAACCCCAGGAAAAGAACCCACGTTCTTTGATTTGAATGCTATTCTGCTATCTATGAAAGGCTTTTTACCCGTTTTTAAAACTCACCCACATAGATAAATAATCACGAGGTGATCACATGTCAGCTTCTGTGTGCTGCTGGAATTAGTACAACAAAGCTCTCAATCAGTTTTATTTCCCCTCACCACAATGGAAGAAAGGAAAAATGCAGAAATGAGTGGTAAGGTCATTTGCTAGTAAAAAAAAGGGGGGGGGGTGCTAGGAGTCCACATTCATTTTGAAAACTGACTAGAAAGAATCTCTCTCCCTACTCATGCTTGGGCAAAGTGTGTAGCCCAAAGGAGTAGGGAGGGGCCAGATGAAATCTATAGACAGCAGTTTTCTGTTCTGAACAGTCAGCTCCTCTCAAGTCCAGAGGGCATCTATTCCCAAGTTCATCCAGGGGACAGCAGGAACATGTTCCTTTTTATGTTGGGCCTATGTGTGCCTGAGAGCAGGTGGATGAAGATCTTGCAAAACTTCAGTCATGTATAACACAACCTGAAGGCCTAGAGGAAGGGCTCTTTGCATTCTTCCCAGCTTGAGAAATAGAGAACCTAATGTGTAACTTGGTGGTCTGCACAGTCCTAAGCAGAGAGCCAAGACAAAGATATTTTTATTGCTTTTCAAAAATCCCTTCTTTCATATACAAACATTCCTTCAGTTAGGTCCTCTGTTATCCTAAATGCTCTCCTCTGGTCACGAGTGGGTAAGTTACGGCCTATTCTGCCAAGAGAGTAGGCTCAGAACTTTCCATAGGGAAAATTTAAATCGGATTCTTCTTGATTCACTTGGCTTCTAGCTTGAGAACTCCAAGTACTAAGAGACACAGGACAAGGATGAGAGAGGCTGAACCTTTTTGAGAGTCTACTCCTTTGCTGAATGCTATTTTCAAGGGAAAAAAGAAGTCAAATGGTAGTTTCCAGTCTATTCTGGGTTGGCCTCTTGGAGGCTCTGGCTTCTGGGTAATGTCCACAAAGGTCACAACAGTTGTCAAAGGTACTTCTGTTACCTGTTGGGAATCCTGCAGGAAGAAAGTCCAGGACAGGTGAGTGCTTGGTACCCATTCATCTAGGTCTCTAACTTGACTGTTCTTACTACTTTTCCCTGGAAAAAAAAAAAAAAAAAGACCAAAACCAAATTGCCCTAAGCAAGATATACCTTCTTCTCATATTGGTGCTACATAGTTACTGTTCTATAATACACAAGGAAATGAATTTCTTTTTTTTTTTAATTTTTTTAATGTTTTTTTATTTATATCTGAGACAGAGAGAGACAGTGCAAGCAGGGGAGGGTCGGTGAGAGAGAGACACACAGAATCCGAAACAGGTTCCAGGCTCTGTCAGCACAGATCCTGACGCGGGGCTCGAACCCATGAACCGTGAGATCATGACCTGAGCCGAAACCGGATGCTTAACTGACTGAGCCACCCAGGCGCCCCAAGGAAATGAATTTCTTAGCAGCAGTCCATGACACCAGACCTGTGAACAGGTACACCTACCTAAAGTCTGAAAGACTGACTCTATAGTTTCCCCCAACTGGGGAGCTGGCTGATATCAGAGAGGCCAGATGGCAAAACCACTGCTGTTACGTGTTTAGCAGCTTCACCTTATCAAGTCCCAGAAAGCTCCAGGCTCTGAAGCAGAACACATGTAGAAGGAGTAGTGGCAATTCTATTCTATCTTCAGTTGCAAAAAGAAATGTGAAACTTCATGTTAAAACAAAGAAATACATAATGTATAAAAAGCCCATCAGAGTCACACTATCTCAGGGTCAGAAAGGATCCTCTAAACCACTCATCAATTCAAGTCAAATGAGACACATGCTCCCAGAAGGGACCTTGTCAAGTTGACTCAAGTATCTGATCTAATATATATAGCTTTTGGTAGATATGGTCATAGCCTGTTGACTGGAACATTGTTTATCTAAAAAGAGTTCCTTTTGTTCTAACTCTATACTTACCCATCAAACTTCTGATTATAATCTGATAATAAATATCTACTTTGTTGAACCAGAAAGGAGTATTTTCTCCACTTACCTTGGTTTACTCTGATGCTATAATACTCAGATATTATCTGCTGTGGTCTTTGGCAACAGTTAAGTACTAGCTCTGGGAACACAACTTGGCTTAGAATTAACCTTTCTAGGTACTTAAAAAATGGGTCTGGGGCCAGGGCTGTGGTAATCTTGCAGGTCATATTAACTCTTTAGAATCTTTTTCTTTAAATTTTTTTTTTTTATGTTTTATTTATTTCTAAGAGAGAGAGAGACAGCGTGAGCAGGGGAGGGTCAGAGAGGGAGTCACAGACTGAAACAGGCTCCAGGCTCTGAGCTGGCAGTCAGCACAGAGCCCGACGCGGGGCCCGAACCCACGAACTGCAAGATCATGACCTAAGTGAAAGTCGGACGCTTAACCGACTAAGCCACCCAGGCGCCCCTAGAATCTTTTTTTAAACAGTGAAGTTCATGAGGGACTTGACAAAGAAATAATGTAACTTCTGAGGCACTGAATGAGCCATATACATTCTGGAACAGAAAGGGAATCCCGATTCCAGCCAGGCATGGGAGACTGGCTGAAACTAACCAGACAAGGAAAATGGGGAAGATAGCATATAACATGGAGGCATGGATGAGGTAGGGATAGAAAGTGGCTACAGAATGATACCCCCCTCAGTGTGATCATGCAACTACTCCTTCCCCAGCTTGACAAGAGATTGGACAATTAAACAAGAGAAATTCTGGATTTAGGGACATTGGGCATAAAGAAGGGCAGAGTGATGTATGGAACTAAAAATAGGTTAATTTTTCTGTATAATGAAATCCCTTCCCTCATCTAGCTCCAAGATGTTGAGAGAGGGTCTTACATCCATACCTCTCAGCTAGGAATCAAAAGGCTTTTTTTTTTTTTTTTTTTTTTTAGAAAAGGACCATTCTAGCAACAAGACAAAACGATAACAGCATTTGGCAGTTCCATAACCCCAAAATCAACTGCACCTAACCCCTCTACCATGAAGGCCACCAGTCAGCAAATCTCACTCATGATGACCACAGAGCTTTCAATGAGCTTAACAGCTTAGTCTTATGTTGGACAGACAGCTAGAGATTGCCAGATGTGCGGGGGAAGCTTCTCACATTAAAGAGAAAAACTGTACGTGGGGTGCCTGGGTGGTTCAGTTGGTTGAGTGTCCGACTTTGGCTCTGGTCATGATCTCGTGGTTCATGAGTTCAAGCCCTGTGTCGGGGTCTGTGCTGATGGCTCAGAGCCTGGTGCCTGGTTCAGATTTTGTGTCCTCCTCTCTCTCTATCCCTCCCCTGCTCGCACGTTTTCTCTCTCTCAAAATAAACAAACATTAAAGAGAAAAATTGTACCAAATGAGTAGAATAAACAAACTCAGCAGAAACAGACAAGATGAAGATGAAAACTTGTTATGATCTTTATTTTTAATTTTATTTTTTAAAAAGTTTTATGTAAGTAGTGTCTATAGCCCAACGTGGGGCTTGAATTCATGATCCTGAGGATCAAGAGTCACAAGCTCTTCCGACTAAGACAGCCAGGTGCCCCAGATTTTTAAATGTATGTAAGAAAAGGATATTATGAAACAGAAAATAAGAGCTCCTAGACATTAAAAATGTGAGAGCCAAAAAAATCAGTAAAAAGGTTATTGAGGAACTCTTCTAGAAAGAGTAAAAAAGTAAAGAGATAATATGAAAGAAAAAAAAATTAGAGAACCAATCTAGTGACCCTGTAACAGATTAACAGGAGTTATAAAAAGAGAGAGTAGATGGGGCGCCTGGGTGGCTTAGTCGGTTAAGCGTCCGACTTTCGCTTGGGTCATGATCTCGCAGTTCGTGGGTTCGAGCCCCGCGTCGGGCTCTGTGCTGGCTGCCAGCTCAGAGCCTGGAGCCTGTTTCAGTCTGTGACTCCCTCTCTCTCTGATCCTCCCCTGCTCACGCTGTCTCTCTCTCTCTCTCCTAGAAATAAATAAAACATTTAAAAAAAAAAAAAAGAGAGAGTAAATAGTTGGGGTGTGATTATTTAAAAAATAGTAATAATTCAAAATTTTTAGACTTTTCAGAGTAAAGAAAAAAAAACCCCAAAATCGTTTGGTATAATGAAAAATCAATGAAGAAAAAAAAAACCTATCCAAAGCATAATATAGAAGCTTCAGACTACTAGGAGCAAAAAGATCTTAAAATGGCTTCTTAACAGTACTGGAAACTAGAAGACAACGGAAGAATGTCATCAAATTGTGAGTGAAAATCTACAATGCCTGGTCAGATGACCAACCATAATTGATATGATAATGATGATGATGGTTGAATAAAGCTATCCTTAGACATGTGAACTAAAGGAAAACTGTACATGTGTGAGGTTATGAGATTTTGAGCTCCACAAATCGAGAGTAAACCAAGAAGGAAAAAGTAGTGTCTAGTAAACAGTGAATCTTAGCATAAGAAGCAAGAGGAATTCTAGGATGACAGGAAAGGAAAATTCCAGAACAACTGCTGGGCAGTAACTAGTTTACACTACTTCAGGCAATAGAGGTGGCCATGAGGAAAACACATAGGAAAAAATAGAACTGGTAACATCACATGACAAGTTCAACTGTTTAGAAAACGGCATTGAGAGAAATTTTACAGAGATGTTGGAGAGCGTGAGACGTTTTAGCCTTTAGCTCAAAGAAAACTAAGGCAATGAAATATGAGGTAATAATTTCAGAATGAATAAAAAATTTTACAAAAATTTAATGAGCTGGCTCAGAATATATAATCATAATTATGAGACACTGAGTACTGATTTAATAAAGTATTTTATTTTTAGAGAAATATAGTCTTTTTAAATGTTTTTTTAATGTTTATTTTTGAGGGGGAGAGTACACATGGGGGATGCGCAGAGAGACAGAGGGAGAGCAAGGATCCAGAGCAGGCTCTGTGCTGACAGTAGTAGAGAGCCTGATGTGGAGCTCAAACTCATGAGCCATGGTATCATGACCTGAGCCAAAGTTAGTTGCTTAACTGACTGAGCCACCCAGGTGCCCTCTATTTGCATATTAAAAGTTATGTACAAGCAAAATTAGAGAATTCACTGTTTATTAAATGTGTAGCAAGAACACTGGGGAAAAAACAATCCTCAAAGTCTAGTCACCTCATTTCTCTTATCAAAACAAACAAAACACACAGAGCCAAGTCAGCACATTTCTTTTACTGTGGATCCAGTTCTGTTAGGTATGGTTGATTTATTTCTGCCTTAAACTATCACATTTTATAATGTTTATTTCAGAAATTACCATCAAATATTCTGTTTTAACACTTTAAGGTTTAGGGGCTTTATTTGTTTCATTCCAGCTTACAGTGAACAAAATCCTTTGTCCCCAAATAAGATTTATTTTGTAACAACACGAAAAAGTTTGGATTATGTTTTGTTTGGCTTTGGTAATAAGAAGTACACCTGATATATTGATACATTATTATATCTTTATAATCACAAATTTTAAATCATTATGTTAATTCCCTATGTCAAATCATTACAAATGGAAAGAAACTATCATTAGAAGAAGAGCTAAGGATACCATTGCTTAGATTTATGTTTTTGTAGCTACACGTTTCATCAACTAGAACTATGAACTAGAACAAATTCATCTTTGCTCAAGTGTGCAACTTATATCTGAGCTCTGAGAACTCTTTATTCTACATACAAGAACCTTGTCAGAAACATGTATTGCAAATATTTCCCCTTAATCAGTGGTTTTTATTTTCATTTTTCCTGCATCTTTTTAATGTTTTGTGGTATAATTTGTATACAATAAAATGTACACATCTTGTCTTCAGTTCAATGAGTTTTCACAACTGCATATGCTATATAGCCCACATCCAAAACAAGATCTGCAATATATCCATCGTTACAGAGGGGTCCCTTGTGCCTCTTTCCAGTCTGTCTCCCAGAAGCAACCACTTTCTGACTTTTATCACTAAAGATTATTTTTGCCTGTTCTTATACTTTGTACAAATGAAATCTTAAAATAT